TGCCATATGGCACGTTAAATTTTTTGCTATGCCAGGTACCCTACTCCAAAGCTCTTCCTGAAATTAAACAAGCCAATCAGAATGTCCGTTACGTTTTGAGATTTCAATAAAACATGTGATTATAAACCAGCCAATAATAATGGAGATTTTTTTGAGGTGTTATATAATGCTTGTTTAATTTGGCCCCCTCCCCCACTGCGTTTAAGCTTCGAAAGGAACGTTAAACGAAATTATAACTTCAAATGGCCTAAGGGTACTCATGCCTCATCAAAGCCCACTAAATTTGTTTTGTCATAGGGTGTTCTCAAACATTTCTCCCAATGTAATTGGCTAGTGTAACGAATAATTTTTCCCCTGTGTCTCTCACTTCCGTATTTGTCTATTCATTGTTATATACTTCCATAATTGTATCTCCATAGGCACGAAAATCTTACCTTTATAGTATTAGGCTATTATGTATTCTTAGTAGCTTAATCATATGGATGTTACTCAAGGCGCGTAAACGTGACAGTGGGAGCATAAACCCCATGATCGTGTAGATGTAACAGTGAGCGTGTAAACGTATCCGTTGGAGCGCAACGTACCTAAAATTTAGAATGTATGTAAGGGTCGCTCTCGCCTTAGTTCATAATCAAATGTATGCTCTCTGAAATCGTCCCTAAATAAAGAATACATAAATAATACATTATCTTTCCTATAATAAATGCCTAATAACCATGAAATACAAGTTCTCTTATTTTTCATCAAGTTCCCGCATCTTCTCTCACGTCAACCATAGGAGTTAAATTCGGCATGATTGATGGAAATTCTCCCATACGATGGTTATACTAGTGATTAGAGCTTGGATCCGGTCATCCGTTTTCATATTAAATTTATCCGACGGAATTTACTATTAAATTTGCATCCAACAGATAACCGGATCCAAGCTCTACTAGTGATCAAGATCGTGCGCGAGCATTACGACTAATTAAATAATCTTCACAGCAATTTGATGAAGATTCATAGTACGTACGTACGTATGAAATGCAGAGATTAAATTTTAGCCAATCAGCACAATTCTATGATAATAAAGATATTGCCGAAATATTTCACTAATTAAATATTGGGCACAGATCTATTAATTTAGGTGCTAGAGCGCACCCATAGAAGCAAGCATTTATCTAATGTACTCATGTTGGAGATAAGGAAAACGTTTGAATATTAATGTACCAGTAAAAAAAAAACATTATTTATGGTGTTGGTAGTCTATACTACGTGTAGATAATAAACATAGTATGAATAAAGACCTTATTTTCAAAACTACTTGGTAATTTTATAAAACTTATTATAAAGTTATTGATCAGGTTTTAACATTGTTTTTATAGCATTTTGAGGTTTATTTAAATTAAAAGATATAATAAATATATATTAAACAATATTAATCTTCAAAACGCATTAACTTATTATGCAGCAATTTTTTGTATAAAAGTTATAGTAGTTTAAAAAATTTAATATAAATCACAGCTTCAATAATAAATCTGCCATTCTTAGACTATAGTTTGATCATACGTATACCCATAACTATTGGGGATATTCACTTCATATGTTCTCTGAAAATCGGTAATAATGCAGATCTTTAATCATGAGTCAACATCTTATTAAATTAATTGTACAAATTAATACATTATTAAAAAAAAAAGATCATTCAAAGTTATTATTTTTGTCATTGACACATTATGTATATAATATTTATCAACGCATGACTCAATATTTGTGTTATCCGGCAATTAATGATCATGATTCTCAAGTCGTGATTTGAATAAACATGATTACGACATAACATCCCAAAAAATAACAAAAAGAAATAAATCTATGATCATAAGAGTTTGCCGGATAATAGCATATTATTAGCACATTTTATTTTTAATTATGCATGACATCAAGTAGCGATTTATTGACATGAATAAATAACTATTAATTTAAGGAACAAATTAATTAAATCATAGAAACGAATTCAGTAATTCGTTAGTAACTCATTTTTTATGTCGACCAATAAATTTTAGAGTTAAAATAATGGCAATAACAAATAGCATTAAAAAAATGATACTGCAAATGATGGCTACAAGAATTAAGTTAGGATTGCTTGAAATTGTAGTATCTGTATTAGTTGTAGTAGCTGTATTAGTTGTGGTACTTGGAATAAATTCAGTAACCCATCTATAAGAATCCTTCTGACTAACATTCAGTATAAATATTTTTGATGAAGTACTTTGATTTGGAAAACAACCTGTTGAACGAATAAAATTTAGCGATTTAAATCAGACATTTATATAAAGACAAGTATAAAATAATTAAATTTTTACCAAAAGCAACAAACATATAATTATCCACTAAAGTCGCTGTATGCGTATAAAGAATTAAATCCACAATTGGGTTTAAGATATTTCCATTTGACCATTTATATGTTGCAATATCTAAGATCCACAGATCACCGAGAAAATCGGCAGTTCCTCTGGTATGATCACCACCGAAAATTATAATACGTCCGTCGGGGGCTTTCAATTTAAACGATTAATAAAGATGCTTTATATATAAAATATTTTATTGTTATTGATATTGTTAATTAACATACTTAATACTGCCGAGAAATGTCTGCGAACAGGAGGAGGTTGGCCAGATGTGCTCTGATAATATATCAAATTTAGATAATTAATATTTAATGAGTTTAAATTGAAAATTAAATTTATTACGTATGTACTAACCATAGTTGTCCACGTATCAGATTTGGTATTATATAATGGTAACTACAAAGAGTTGATGAATAACGCCAAATGATCAATTTTTATTAAAATATAACACTTACATTATTCATTGGCATAAATGATGAATCATTATAGTCTCCACCAATATATAAGATATTTTCATCAGGTAAAATAATTGTACAATAACCAAACCGAGGCGAAGGCGCATTTGTTGTATTTCCTAAACTCCATGTCAATGATAATGTATTGAATATCCAAAGTTCATTAGGAAATCCATAACCACTAAAAATGGCAATCAATCCATCATTAAATTTAGCGCATGAAATATAAATTCTATCAGAAGGTACATTTTTGACAGATGTAATATCCATCCACTGCTGTTTACTTATTTCAAATCGATTAACGAATGGTTGATTATAAGGCCAACCACCAAAAATAAAAATCATGTCATTATTTTTTCCACCAACACACGCCGTAACATATGTTTTAAAAGGACCGCCGGTGTCACGATCGTCACTAAACTTTTTCGCCACTTGCCCTGACGATCGTTAAATGATTAACTACTGTGGCAATGAATTAGACTCGCCACCCCTACAATGATCATCTCTATGCCGTAGTCTAATCCTGTGACTTCTATACCCAAACGATCTCCCTTTATAAGATTGTACTACCGAACATTTCTTTTCTTTTTCCATTTTTGTATAATCGATACATAGATTTTATTATTACCATATTTATTTCTTTCTCTTTCCCATATTTATATTATTATATCCAATGTTTCTTATTACCGTATTTAGTTATTATCTACTTCCCTATTTATATTTCTTATACTCTGTATTACGATCGACCGAAGTCGCATAAGGCGTAATGCCTCTATAATCCAGCCCAAATAGAATAACACGTGGTCCCACTCAGTGTATAAAATCTATGTGCACAATGTGCTCAGAGCACATTTTTTTAAAATTTTTCACATATTTTTAGCCAGAGATGTGCATGTAATTCACAGGCTTTCTCACCACATAGTGCACCAAAATTATTAATAACATCTTAACAATGTGCACATAGAGCACATTGTGCACATAATCTATTATTCATGTATCTACTCAAGAGCAAAATCAGAATAGAAAGGTGCTTGGGCATGAAGATTTTTAACGGTTAAATAATATAATTGAATAAGCTCAATTTATATATATATATATATATATTGTACTGTATAAAAACCATCTTTTCATATAAATAAAGGACAGATCTAATTAAGGCCAAATCTTCCATGCCCTCTTTCGTAAAATCAAGATATTCCAAATTTGCCTCTTAATATTTACAATATATGTATGTACATATATATATTTTGTAAAACCTGATTAAATCTTGAGTTTTTTTTAAATTACAACTCAAAATTTTTTATTTACTTTATGCACAATAAATCATTTACTTGATACACTTTCACACTTAATATAATGAACTATATCACATTTTATTCCACATTGTTCTTGGTACGATGAATAACATGAACTATATCACATTTTATTCCACATTGTTCTTGGTACGATGAATAACTAAACTTATTGTTTTATTTGATTTGTTCAATTCTGTAAGCCCTTTACGACAGCTTAATTAAATCCTTTATTTGGTTCAATTTCTAACAAATTTTAAGTAAATAAAAAAATATCTACTAAATGCTAAGCAAATAATTATAGTTTTCTTGATTTTAATAATCTTCGTATAAAACAATTGTCAATTTAGCAATTGGTATCAAAAAATATGATCCTGTAATTTAAAACCTGCATACTATGTAGAATTCTTGAGACTATACCAAATCAAGGTTATTAATTCTTAAAATATAGCTTTAAGATAATAATAATACTTACTTGAGATTAGTGTGCAGCTATAAATATGAAATTCTAGTTTATTATAATAAACAGTATGTGACTTAAATATAACAATAATACATAATTAGAATTAATATGTAGTTGCTAATAAATCTTGTAATTAAAATTAGTATATAGTTGTAAATAAATTTAAAAAAAAGTTTCATTGTAATAAGAAATATGATTCATATAGTAATAACAAAGGTATTATAATTTTACACTGAAACATACTTTTATGATATCATATAATTGTTAATTGCATCATATATAAAAAAATAAGATTATATAAGACTAACAAAGTAAACTCAAAATATTTTATAAATTTTTCTTTCTAAATTTTGAATTCATCGTATATACTTTATCAATCATTTCTTTGTTTAATAACACTACCATGCCAATGGAAAAATATGTTATACGTCTTGATAAATCTAATGAAAAAGAGACTCAAGAATCTGATGTATTTGTCAGTTCCTTAGCTATTAAACAACCTGATTCAACTAAAAAACCTAAATTAGAATGGCTTACTAAATCAAACTTACACTTCAACCCAGTATGGTGAAAACGATATCTATGGCTTAAAGATCAAATAGTAGATGAAAAAGTTAGAATGTTTTGTACATGGTGTCAAGATATAAAAGCTAAAAATATTTTTGCACAAGAAGGATGTGAATGGCTTAAAGAGGAGTCTTTGACACAACATATTAAGATTCGTGAGCATATTAATGCTGCTAAAGATAAAGATATAGGGCAGCAAAATTTGTTTAGCAGTTTTACAATTCAGTATAGAGAAACAAAAGCAAAAGCTTTAGCAAGCATGCATAATATATATTTTTTATCAAAACATCACTTAGCTCTTAATATTTTTCCTGATCTTTGTAATTTAATAAATTTTACACACTTAAATTATAATGAAATAACTTATCGAAATCCATCTTGTACTATTAATCCACCTTATCTTCACTTAGAAGAAAATAATGAGTTTGATTCTACTAATGAAGACAATTATGCTACGTATCAAAATCCTGTTACTGGACGTGAAATGTTAGAATCATTAGCATATATAATTGAGAAAGATACTATTTTAGAAATTAATAGTTCACCATTTTGAAGCATTCTTTTTGATGAATCTAATACTATTACGAATGAAAAAACTCTTGCAATTGTATCAAAACACATTGCTAATAATATTCTAGTAATACGATATATTGGAATGATTTCATTAAATGAAACTACAGCTGAAGCAATTTTAAAAGATCTGGAATTATTTTGTATTGCCAAAGGTCTTGATTTAACCCGTTTAATCCATTTTGGTTCAGATGGTGCAAGTAATATGACTGGTAAGCTATTTATTACTATATATATATTTATTTATATATTAATGTATTATAATAACGATAATAAATATATGTATATATATTTAATATAATACATATAATTAAAATTTTAGGAATACATAATAGATTAGGTGCAAAATTAAAACGTAAAAATCTATTTATTTCAGCTAATCATTGTATTGCTCATCATCTTCATTTGGCTGCAGAAGATGCATCAAGAAATTTACAATATTTTTCTGATTATATAGCAGTAGTTAAAGGAATATATACCTATTGGTCAGCTTCATATAAATGAAAAAACTCTCTGCGAATTGTTCAAGATGAAAATATGAATCATGAATTTTTATCAGTTTTAAATATTGTTAATACACGTTGGTTATCATGGGCAAATGTCATTAATAATTTATATCAAATATTAGATGATGTTAAAGAAGCATTTATTCAAGAATCTACTACTACTGCATTATATTTATATGATGCAATGGATCGAGATTTTTTTCTTGTTACATATTTTTTAGCTGACTTATTCTATATTATATGCAAAATAATTAATATATTTCAATCGAATTATGTTTCACTTAGTGAAATCAAAGCTTAGCTATCTATGGTGATTGAAAGTATTACAACAGAGTTTATCGGGTCACCAGGCAATCTATCACAACTTGGTACACAACTTCTTAACTATATGACTACAAATAGAATATTAACATCTGAACTTCCACAATTTGTAACACAGTATGCAATAAATATAATTACAAGCTTGCGAAGTCGATTTCCAGATTCTAATCTGTATCATGCATTAAGAATTATAGATCTACATGAAATTCCAGCTGAACGGCAGGCTTTAAATAATTTTGGAAAAGATGAAATTATATTTTTAGGTAATTATTATGATAAAGAAATTGAGAGCGAATATGGTATTTTAACTCCAAAGCTTGACAAAACCAAATTATTTGAAGAATGGAATTTAGCTAAACATTTAATTTTAAATTTTAAACATTTTCGCTTTGTTGAGGCGTGGCAACATATTTTAGTAACAACAAATTTTTCTGAACAATTTTCAAATATAACTTGCTTAGCTATTATTGCATTAATAGTTCCATTATCAAATGGTTATATTGAACGTGTATTTTCTCATCAAAACATGATCAAAACTAAATTAAGAAACAAAATGGCAATTCCTACACTTAATAATCACTTATTGATTGCTCTTAATGGACCTTCGATTGAAGATTTTGATCTGGAACAAGCATATAAACATTGGGTCTCAAAAGAAAGAATGGTTTTGTAACTTTAACTTATTATAAAATTACTAAGAAATCTATTTTATAAAATATATTTTCTAGTTGGTTAATCTTTTACTTTAAAATCTTTCGGTATATATAATCAACTCTGGATATATAGTAATTTTCTATAACGAGCTTTTTTTCTTTCAGAATTTTCACTTTGTTATAAAAAAAGTTAACGTATATATTTATAAATAATATAGTGAGGGGTTTTGAATTAAAATATAGCATGAAATAAAATACTTAAAATTTTACTTTAAAATTTTAAAAGCAGAAAATTAAATAACAATATATAATAAAGATATTTTTTTTAAAAAAATAAAATAGAACTTGAAAGATCGCTTAATATAATTAATTTTGAACTCCAATTATTTAATGTTAATTTATCATGATCAAAAATTATTTAAAAATAAATATGTCATTGTATTACACATTTTAATTCTGAAACTAGTTTTAAAAGACTAATGCTAATCTTTAAAAATGCTTATTTGGATAGATTTACTGTCAATTCTTTTAAAACATCTTAGTGTGTAATTCACAAGTTTATAGTTGTTATTTTATAGATAATTAATTTAGAGGCAAGCACGTTTGGTAAGCAAATTATTTATTAATGTATATAATAAATTTTATAGTGCACCTATTTTAAATTTGTGCACATATATTTTATAATATTATAAAAATTTATAGTGCACTAATTTTTAAAATTATTCACATAAATTAAGTATGCACTGTGCACAATATTCACATATTTTTGAGGTGAGATTTTATACACTGGTCCCACTAATTTCTCTTTCCAACCTACATTGATGGATGATTCTTTAAAGTGGTGCTGAAACCATCTATCGGAGCCGGAACATGAGACATTTGTTTATTATTGGTGGTCACTAACTTAAAAGTAACTGGTGTAATATTCAACATTCAAGGAGAAGTTCTGATGCAAATATGATATTCCGTAGCTCTCCTAATCCTGGAAAACCGTTGTATTTAATTCCACGGCACTGTACTAACGAAGAAACCGTCTCGATAAAGATCGCCAAGTTAACAGGCCACTGTGTGAGAATCGCGGAGGCAAAGGTGATTTTAGTATAAGGTTATAACAGAATGAGTAAAAAGAGAAGAATAGTTATGGGAAAGGTGTTAGTTCTAGGAATGAAGTCGCATCGTCGATAGTATAGTGTAATTATTTTATGTAAGTCGAATTATGTATTTAAAGGCTCAATTTTTCGCTTTCAATAAAGTTCTTCAAACTTTGATTTCTTATACATTTATATACTTAAAAACTTGACTTGTCGAATTCTCACTCTTACTGCATTATTGTATCAATGTGATCACATTTTACGAAACTTCACATCTATTTATTTATTTATTTATTCATTTATTTATTACATCATATAACTATTACAACTGAACATTGTTCCGCTATGGCATATCCTCACTATTATTAAGAATCGTTATCTTACTTAATGGTTTCTTAAAAATAAATTAATTTCTATCTTGCATCAATTCACCCTAAATCGTCCTTATTGCAACTTCACATCATACGATCATCGATATCTTTATAATTCTTATCGCATTCATTATAGTTATCCTGTATACAATTCATCCATAAATATTAGCAGATACTTCTTTTGTTCACTATCGCTGACCTAAACCCGGCACTTACTTACTGACGCTCTCCTGATCTGATAGTAACACCGGTATCAGTAAAGTCAGTCCATGGTATTAAGGCATTGCCTGTTGTTGTAAATAGGTTGGAAACATCTAAATAAAAGAATTCATTCATAACATTATTAAGAAAACTATTAAGTCTACCACTAAAATAAAGCTTCTTATCAATAAGAACTGATAAATGAAAATGTCTTTCTTTTGGAGTAAATGCAGCAAAAGTAAAAATAAAATTCAAAAGAAAAGTAAAAATATAAAATCCAAAATATAATATCGCGATGCATTAAGCTAAATGGCTAAATAGAACAATAACTTAAATAACTAGATATTTATAATTATTTACATACACTATATATTGTGTGTTTCGTATTATTATATATAATGACAATGATAACAATAGAATTTTCTACCGCTCTATAAAAACAAAATAATATTTATATATATCAAAAAGAATATAGTGTAATACTGTGTATTTTTTGTACAAAAAAATTTTTTTCAATAAAAAATTCACGATAAAATAACACCTTTTTAAACAGTAATTATACAAATTCTATGTAATTGTGACACAAATATAAAGCAAAAGTAAATTTAATGTTTTTATAGTGCCGTTATAGGTAGGGTAATCTTTATAGAACTTACCAGGAACGACATTTAGTTTCATCTGATTTGTGTTATATAGAGTTAATTATAAATTTGGATTGTTAGTAAAGCAACAGGTATACCTAAACTTTTTGCTGAAAACTTTTATTTGAAATTTTTGCAATTTCTTGTTTATTTGATTTGTATGTTACACATTGATCTTACAAAGGACCGCCAAATTTTTGCGTCATGACTATGCTACTCTTTATTTAACATTAATTTCATGTTTTAGTTGTCTATGTATATACTAATATAAACTAAGAATCGTTTATGTAACTATTTTCAATGACAAAATAACTTCTTTAATGGTTTCGTCAGACAAAACTGACGATTTGACAAAAGTTAATTTGACCATAAAATATAAAATAACAATTTCTCTCATTCAATGAGCTTCTTTATAATGATCTCTGGATATTCTGAATCTTAAATTTTTCAAAATTACTGTTATTTCACTGTAAAGTTTCGATCCATATAAAAATCTAGTACTTTTTTTAATTGGCACTAAATCATTAGTTCATTATTATAAAGTTAATTACACAAACTTATTAAGCTCATAAAAAATTAATTTGTAATAAAAATATCCTGAGTCATTGGGTATTTGTGGAAATAAAATTTCTGCTTGTAAACATAAAAATCGGGGTATTTTTAGCTTTATATTACAATGAATCTGAAGACGATAAGTATTTATTATCGATAGCTTCTTCATCAGACATATCAATTAAGTCCAGATGATTGATGTAAATCATTAATAAATGCAAAATCGAGTAGATATAATAATAAACAAAAATTATTAAGTCCACATGCCTAATTTATTTCCATTAACCAGTTTTCAATGATTTCTAAAGAAAAATTACTTTGTTAATTCTTATATTTATTATACAAAATTTATATTTCGTTATGAGTTCGTTATTCGTTATTCATTATTCGTCACTCGTCACTCGGGGTTGACGAAATCGTTATTCATTATTCGTCATTTGTTACTTGAGGTTGATTGATGGATTTATATAATTAAAATAAATCTTAAAATTTCTTCGAAGTTGAATCAAGCTTATTGGAGATATTCAAATACAAAATCTCCTAGGCAGCTCCTGAAAATCAATAACATACCTAATGCTAAATTAAACTTTTAAATTAACATCAATAGGGAGTTTCAAAATTAACAAATAAGTGACTATTTTGAAAATAAGTAGGATTTTTTCAATAGCATTTTTACTATGTTGAATTATAAATCGAAAAAATAAAATAAGATTCTTTGATTTTAATTTTGAAACCCCTTAATAGAATACTTTTCATAATAATAGTAAAAGCAATTTGCAAAAAAATTTTTTGATATATTTAACTTATGATGAGATAGAAGAAACAGAAAAAAATTATTTTTTTAAAAAAATTAATCTTGTAGTTAGAAGTCACCAAATGCAGTATAATATTAGCATTTGCAAACATTTTATATAAAAATCTATAAAAATCTATAAGGCTATTAGTAAAAAGTGAAAATTTGAAGCTAATAAAACCAACTCCCACAAAAGTAAAACTTTATTTCTCTAATATAGATTGTGTAATATTTATTGTAATCCCCTGTTGCACTAAGTGTCACTCATGACTACCTTCAGCATAATTTTTTACACGTGAATAACCATATTTATAATAAACATATTGTGATCGGGAATCTTTCTATGGAAGATTCCCGGTCTTTATATTGATCATCGGGAATCTCTCGTATATTTATATATGTTTCTTGTTTTTTAGTTTTCATGCTTTATGCAAACTTTAATTTTTAAGTTATGATATGCAGGAAAAAACTTTAATAAAAGCCAAAGTAAATAAGTATAGCTTATTACGTGATAAATTATAACACGCAAAAAGTAAAAGGCAAAATGACAAGTAAAATAAAGAAAAACGTAAGCACAATACAAATATAAATATGGAATTACGTGTAAAAATAATGGTATGGTAGTCCAATAACATCTAGTGACACGCTCCTGGGGATTACCTATTTATTTCCTGGGGGAGTAGAAATTATAGCAGAGGGTTACCGATGATCATAGCACGTGGGATGGCCCTTCGGGCCATCCCACGTGCTATGATCATCGGTAACATCTTCCCATCAAAATGTCACTGTCACGTGATTATAGGAAAAAAACCTTTAAGTTCGTTTATGTTAGGGTTAGCGTTTCGACCAGTGTTAAAAATTAAAGAAGTAATAGTAAAATTACACGAGGAATTTTTTTTGTTAATGCACAAACGGCGGTTTCTTATGTGAATTTTTGAGAAATAAACGTTTTTTTACAAAACTGACGTTTGTTTTGATCTTCGTAATTGTGTTGCGTTGCACCAAATTGCGATTAATTATTGGCTAATTTGATGTAGATCATCACGTGACAGTGACATTTTGATGGCGATGCAGTGGTAGTTATCGGTAACCCTCTGCTATAATTTCTACTCCCCCAGGAAATAAATAATACTAATAAAATTTACGAGGTTTTAAAGGCGTTTGTAATAAAATATCTTGAGCCGTTTGTTATTTCCGCTATACACATGTAGATTGTTATATGAAATTTTGTACACTTCTTAGATATACATTTATATTATTACTATTTGTGTATTATTAATATTTTTTTCATTGTTCATACGTATTTGTGACATCTGCTTTTATTGCTGTTTTGGCTAAATCTAATTCATTAATTCTGCTGCCTGGAAAATGATTGACTGATCTACGTTAACCTAGTTTAGAAGCCGGAATTAATTCAACATACTGCATGAGTTGCATTCTTGATCCGTATATAAATATTTATATAGTATCAAAAAAGTAACCCTAACCCTAACTCTGAACCGATCTCCTAGTTTAGTAATTGATGATCCTTCGATATATTTCTTTGACGGATTAATGAATGTCTCGATGTTATTGTGATAGAAAAATATTTTGTGTTTAGATGTTGATGAGATGAGAATTAATTATTGAAAGGTAAAGTCAATCTGTAGCAAAATAGATGTTATCTGAAAGTTGTGAGTGATACACATTTAGATTGTGTTATAATCCTCTCGTAATTTTAAAGGAAATTTATTCAAACGCATCCATGATAACGCTGGATGTTCTCTCATGTACCTTAGAATTTGACTTAGTTGAATTCAGAATTAATTATTTGTGATTTCTCTAAGAGAGTAGGTTGCATTGTTACACGAATCATATCTGTTGCAACAAATCCAAAGTTTCGAAAATAGTCTAAATGTTTTCAAAAATTAATAGAACGTGTACGGAAGAAATTTAATCATTTAAATATTTTCAAGTCACAGAAAACTGCAAAATTTGAAAATCGCAAAGAATTGGACCATTCCTAAGGCATCTTTGTTAAAAATTAATAGTATTAAGTTTAAAATTTTTTTATGAATATAA